CTACCCAGTCCAAACCCCAAAGCCAGTGTGTGTGGCACCCATGGGACCACACTGACAAGCAAAGACACAAGGCACCTGGGCCAGCTGTCTGGCATCTGCCAAGTCCCAGTACTGATACTAACCCTCAAGACTGTTAAGTGAACACTTCTGCCCCCAAGAGGATGGGAGGACGAAAGACAAAGGTAAGGCTGGGGCAGAGTCTATAACAACTGTTCTCTGATGGTACAAAAGAGTTCCTTCTCTGGGCTCCATCACTGCTGTGAAATGAGAGTGGTGCTTTAGATGTTCTGTTCTCTGAGGCTCTCAGAGATGAAACAGTGCTCTCAAAGATGGTTGTTGATTTGCCCTGCGCTTGCCTGAGAGCCTGCTAATGTTGCTCATCAGCCACCATACAATCCGTGGTTGTATGGATCCCTCTCTTCTTCTCTCTCCTCATCCTTGCCTTCACCTTGAACACAAATCTTTTTGTTTTGTTTTTGAGGACAGGGTTTTTCTGTGTAGCTCTGTAGAGCAGGCTGACCTGTAACTCACAGAGATCCACCTGCCTCTGCCTCCAGAGTGCTGGGATTAAAGGCGTGCGCCACCACAGCGGGGCTGAACGCAAAAACTTGACCTTCTGCAAAGAAGGGATTTTGGGGGAGTCTGTTTTGATCGTTCCCCCTTGTATGTTTTGAGTCAGGGTCTCTCACTGAACCTGGAGCTCACTGATTGGCTAGACTAGCTGGCCAGTGATCTCCAGAGAGCTAGGGTGTCTTTTTAAATCCTTCACTCTCAACTCTACCAGTGCTGGGGTCCCAGAGTCACTCTGCCAAGATGCCCAGCTTTTATGTGGGTGCCAGGGATCTGAATTCTGCTCCTCATGCTTAGTTTTGGGGTTTTTTTGGGGGGATTGCCCTTTTGCTTTCTTGTTTGTTGCTGTATACCTAGTGCTCACAACAATGCCTGGCATATAGTAGGTGCTCAATAAAGTTGTGCTAGCAAGCACTCTACCCACTGAGCCATGCCCAGCCCCCCATTTTACTTCTTTTGCCATTCCTCAGCTCATGACTTTTTTTTTTAACTGGGGTAGTATTTCTAAATTTTAGCGATCTTTGTTCATTAAAAATATTAATCTTGTTTGTGCAACTTTTCTCTTGTCATCTTTCTTCTTTTTTTTTTCCTTTGCTTTCTGATACAGGGTCTCACTATGTACCCCTAAATTGGCCCAGAAGGCAATAGATAGACCAGGCAAGCCTTCAAATTTTTGGTGAGCCTCCTTTCTCTGCATCCTAAGTGGTAGGATCACAGGCATGAGCCACTAAGCCTGGTTATAATTCACACTGTAAGCCCCCCCTCCGCATGCTAAAGACTGAACACAGGGGCCTTATGCAGGCCAGGAAGGCTCTCTACCTTCGAGCTATCTCCACAACCTGAACTTTTAAAATCTATAGTCAAACCTCTTGGTCATCTTCCCTATGATGTCTGACTTTTTAAGTATGTTTTCTGTGGTACTGAGGACCCAGCCTGGGTGCTCTCCTGAGCCCTGCACCTCAGCCCTGGGTCATCATGAGAAAAGGTGCTCCTGTGTCAGCCACTGCAACTTCTTGCTATTTCCAGTCAACCCTGAGGCTGCAAGCCCTGGTGACAGGCATAGTAATCCAGGAAATGAGCCTGCTTGAAGAAGCATGAAAAATGTGGAGAGGCCACATATCCTGAGTCCTTCTCTTTACTATAAAGGGGCCTCAATAGCTATCCTAGAAGGACTGTGAAGTACTGTTGTTGTTGTTGTTGTTGTTGTTGTTGTTGGTGGTGGTGGTGGTGGTGGTGGTGGTGGTGGTGTGTGTGTGTGTGTAGTTCAGAGGATAATTTTTAGGAACCAGTGTTCTACCTTGTTCTGAAGCAGGATCTTGTCGTTTTTTTTGCCCATCAAACATGCCAGGGTAGTGACTTGTGAGTTTCTGGGCAGTTTTCTGGTCTCCATCTCTCATCTTGCTTCAGCAGTGTTAAGATTACAGATGCATGACACCTCACCTGGTTTTTTCTATGGGTTATAGGGATCTGACTCAGGTTGTCAGGCTTAGGCAGCTGCTGAGTCAGCTCACTGGCCGGAGAGACCATTTTTAAACCCAACATCCACCAGAGTCTAGTAATTTGCCCAAATGGCATATCAGAGTCACCACCCTCTCAGCCCACCATCCTTCTCAAGGATCCAGCACAGCCTCTTCAGCTGGTGTGCTTTTGATGGAGATAGGCTTCTTTGCTTTCCAGATTGCTGGAAGAGCAGATAGGATGGAGTGAGTCTCGGTTCACCCCTCTCCCTGGCAGAAGCACCTGAATCCTACTGAAGCTGTGATTTGTCTGCTGCTGGTCCCATCGCCTACTCACATCCCTCCCCTTCCTCACACCTCCAATACTGCCCCAAACAACGAGCATTCTGGGATTCCCAAGAACATCTGGCTCTTCCTGGCTTATGGCTGACAGGTTTACTTGCATGGATGGACAAGATGTTGGGATTAGCAGCTTTCAAGCCTGCCCAGGGCCAAGTCCTAAGGGGTGTCTGAGGGAACTCTGCTTGGAAACTGGCAGACTTTGTGCTTACCACCATCCTGTTGTCTGTGATCTGTGAGACTGTAGACTGCTGATTTCTGTATCTTAACAGCGTTGTATGGGTGAACGAGAGTGGAGCCTGAGAGACTGTGATGAGCGTGGAGCTCTGCTCCCATGGAAAATGATTCTCTGCTCAGGGTCAGCATCTGCACCCCAATTCCCTCCTCACCATAATATCTATCTATCTATCTATCTATCTATCTATCTATCTATCTATCTATGTACACACACATATATATCCACAAATTCTTCAGTGTGATGGGGGCAGAGACAGGCAGAACGCATTGGTCCTGATGCAAGGACACCAGGAGGAAGGAAAGAGGCAAGGTGAAGGTTGGCAGCCCTAGCTCATCACATGCCTGCCCCCTACAGGCTATACCTTGGGCCCAGCCTTCCAGGTCCTAAGTCCAGCATGTCCATGGGGTACATGCCTGCAGACCTCACCAGGAGATGCCTGCCTAGCAGCTGGCCTCAAGCACACAAGCAGTGCTTCTGCAAGCTGTAGTTCCTGGAAGACTGTCTTGAGAGGGAGGCACGGAAGAGATGAGGAAGGAAGACACCAAATCCCTGGAGCTGGCAGAGGCCTGGTGGCCTCCAGGGCTGTCAAGGAGTCATGGAAACCTTAGACAATTGTCATGGGAAGGGGCCTTTACTTCTGTGGCCCCAGGGTGCCATAGCAGGCTTGTGTCCTCACGGCAGCAAGGACATCCATCTGGCCATACAAAGGACATCATTCAGCTTTCCTGGCCTAACTTCATGAAACCTTAGACACACCAAGCCCTGGAAAAGCTAAATCACAAATCATTCTAGACATTCCCACTGGTGTGCAAGGAAACAGGCTCTGAAAGGGAGCATCTCAGAAGGGACAAAGGTGCTATGACCTAGGTCTCTTGGCTTGCCAGCTGCTGTCACTACTATATCAGAATACAGGAAAGCAAAACTACTGGGTGACCGCAGGTTGCAGCAGAGCACACAGTGAAAGCACTGCTGGACCTAAGGGAGGCAGTGGTCTGTGAATACTCCCCCTCCTCCATCTAGCATGGCTCCCCTCCCCTCCACCCACCCTTGCCATGCAGGAGGGCCTAGCTCTCATCAACACCTCTGCAGATGGTGACAGGCCCTGCTGGGTTCACTCCTCAGTCATAGGCAGAGGAGGAGTCTGCAGAGCTGGCATGTCTAGGGCTGGAAAGCCCTGTTCTCACCTCCTAATGAGACAACTTGTTAGGCAGGAATCACAGCCTGCAGTGGGTAAAGGATGTGGCAGGGACACAGGGCTTGGAGTCTTCAGGAAAAAGCCTCCCAGGCAAAGAGAATACCAGGACAAAGGCTGAGGGGCCCTGAGGATGAATAAGGGAGTTGTGGCTCCTGCTGTCTTCACCCCTACAGTACCATGGCCCTGAGAATCTAGTTAAGTAGCCTGCATTAATGTTCCCAGGGCTAAGCCATGCTGTTTCCTTTCCCCGTGCTAGCAGGCAGAAGAGTGGAGCAGAATGGTGGTTCCTGTCTGGCCCCAGCCCTCATTGTACCATAGAATGGATAGGACATGATGCAAGTGGCCTGAGGTGAAGGTATAGGAAAGAAGAAAGGTGGCAGTCACTAGGACCTGAGGAGCAGGTGGCACTGAGGAGTTAGAGACAGAGGTACCTGCAGAAGTTTATGGAGGGACTGTGCTTACAGCTAAGGTGGGCTGACCACTGCTGCAACAGGGGACACACCAAAGAGAGACCCTGAACCATAGACAATGTATGAGACAGAGATGGGGAAAAAATGGCTTCAAAGGCCATTGTTCTGTAGTTCAGGAAGCAAGGCCATGTTACAGAGAAGAAAAGGTACTGGGAAGAATATAGTCAGGCCTAGCCAGCCCACAGCTCACATGCTGTATCCAGCCTCCTGCATTCAAGACTCTGAGCACAGTTCAGCACAAAATCATAGACCTACTTAAACATACAATTTGTATTTTTCAGCTTTATTGTTTGTATTTTATCTACTGTTATTATGTATGTGTGTATATGTGAGTACAGTGCACGCATGCCATAGCATGCATGTGGAGAGGAGAAGAAAGCTATTTTAGAAGTCAGTTTTCTCTTTCCACCATGGGTTTCTGGAATCCACCTCAGGTCATCAGGCTTACACAGCAAAAGCTGGCCTCACACTGGAGTAGCTGAAGATGACCCTGAACTTCTGATCCTTCTGGTCCTCCTCCTTCTCTCTCTTGAGGGCTGGGATTATAAGTGTGCACAACCATTAGCAGTTTTTATGAAATTTCTTCCTGATTTTTGCTTTGTAATTAAATGTGTGCTTCCCAGCCAAAATCACAATGTCAAAAGCTCCCAAGTGCTTGGTAGAGGTGATGGATGATGGAAGAGAGAAGTTTTCTATCAAAAGAGTCTGCTCAGCCCTGGCTCTCCCCACAGGTTCCTGGAGTTAACCCCCCCTGGGATACCTACCCATATCCTGATGACAGCTACCTGGCTCCCTATAATAAGGAGACTGTTGTGGTCACTCTGCATGGAGCTACCAACTTGCCTGCCCGCAAGGATGGCTCTGACCCACAGCCCTGTGTGGTGGTGTAAGTAGCCGCAAAAGCTGGTGGAAGTGGGGTTGTAAACAGAAACCATCTGATGAATATTTGGAAACTGAGCTCCTGAAGGGACTGTGGTACCTGGAGATGTCATACCAAGGCTGTACAAATGATAGGCCCGCCCTGTCCCCTGCTGTGTGCTGCCAGGGCTGAGCGCGGCCTAACCTCACAAGGGCAAGGCCCTTGTCCATAGTGCCCATGCTGGGCTCAGTGTCGGGTGGGTATGGTCAAGGGAAATGTTATAAGCACAGATCTGACTTCCAGGGCATCTGAAGTTTGTCTTAGGGGGAAAGAAATTGATCTAGGGACACGTACTTAGAAATAGAAACAGCACTCCTAAGAATGGGAATGGGTTAGTGACTGGAAAGGCAAACATGGAAAAACTCAGCAGGTCATCACCTTCTACTGGACATTTACATCCCACCTTGTATAGAATGGGCTTTTTTCCTGGAATGCTCTTTGTTACATGAAGCCTGGGTGGGGAACGCCTTCTAGTCTTTCTCTGCCAACTGGCTCTTCTGCTACTTTAATCTTTATGCAGCTTTCTGAAGTCCTTCCTTGCTCTCCTGTCACAGAAAGACTTGGAGTCTGCCTCTCCTGGTTTTTGGGGACCCAAGAGGCTGTGCTGCTTTTAGCCACCCTCTGAGGGACCTCACCTCTCCCTAGTCATTTCTGCCATGGGGTTTCTAGTCCTTTAATGCATCTCTCTCTCTCTCTCTCTCTCTCTCTCTCTCTCTCTCTCTCTCTCTCTCTCTCTCT